ACTGAGTACTTATATATGTAAAATGTTACTAAGCTGGAATTCCAACTGTTGTAATAACTAATAAGTTTAGTAAATTTCATCAAAAGCAGACTGCAACTCTGCAAGATTATATTGTTGGACACTTGGACTCCCCCACTAAGAGAAGTAACTCGGGGATAAATCCGTACTGTATTTAAAGGGGAATGCAAAAGTGTTACTAGCTTGTAAAATTTATCCTGCTTTTCAATTCATGAAATATCACAGAGTACAATATTGGCGCAATAAATCAAATAATAATATATGTGTTAATAATATCTTTATATCAATCAATGTTGACGTAATTGTCCATGCATTAGGTATCCATGCAAGCAAATGACAATTAAACTTGAGCAAGCTGTTGGATATTCATAGGGACGCAAACATCAGAACCATTGATACAATGAGATGCAATTACAGAATAAGTTGCTTGAGTTGGATGATAACCATCCCAAAAGTAGTGTTCGTTGGGGTTTGAGCATGGTGTTCTCCCCGGTTTGCATGACAATGTACCATTTATCCATGAGTCGCAACACGGATTGCTACTGTCGCTTAACCCTATAATATTACGTATGCACAAGTTAATTACTTTGAGGTTCATTCATTCGAAATTAGTTGTTCATAATAACAAAAATGACTGATCATGATTTGAGGACGTAAAAAGATTTAAAAAATGTTGGCATACCATATTTTGTGGGATTGATGATAGCATCATACCCTAATCCATGTGCTTTTCCAATAATAAAGTGTGAGTCTTGAAGAGTAGAAGTTAAATTCTTGAGCAATAATGCAAGCTGATTGTTGAACATTTTGACGATTTCATTTTTATTTTCATCACATTTATCATTTAACTTGGCCTTCCTAACAATTGATGGAATGCAACCAATTGGACCTAGCTCGAAAACCACAATCTTCCTCGCTCCCAAATCATATAGTTTCTGCATAATTAAAGGCAAAAAATCCAGTACTACTATTAATCAAAAGTTGTCACGTACAATCATGTAGTATATCACAAATTAAAAACGAAAATTAATATAAATAAATTAAAATAAACTCACTTGTAATTTTAAAGATAATTTCTTAGTAAGGAGTTGTGCAAATTGTTGAGGATTATATTGCAATCTTGTGTTTAAGATGCCAAAATAAGTGTTGATGTAATCATTATTTCCAACGGAGAAAATGAAAATGGACTTGACCATGTGTTGGGATAGCTCGGTTGAGGTTTCGAACTTTGAGGACAACTGTTTTTTCACGGTCTTTTCGAACATTATCATTTGTTCATCCAAATTCAAACACTCGCCCTGTAAATAAATGAGACATGTTTGAACATTTATATCTTTAGTTATATATTTATACTAATGTTTTGATTTTGAAATTACGATAATTAGTTGAAAGAAATTTGACAAATCTAGCTACATATGGATCATAATTAACTTCCATGATGTATTGCACAAAATTATTAAAGTATGAATTTTCACTATATGTATTTATTTAATTTTCTCTTATAATAATGTCACCACTAATGCACTAATAATCGAGTATCTTCTATGCATGTGGATTACACCATTGACCATTTTAAACTTAATATCTCTCCGTTATCTTTGGAGGTCTAAGTGAGGAATAATATAATTATTAAAGTAGCTTGTTAGGTGGTATTCTACACGTATGCATTGCAAAATAATATAATTTGAGTTGACCATGGATATATACTTAATGTACATTTTTTTTTTGAAAGAATTTACGTTAATATACATAGCAAAAGGTATATCGTAGTATAATTATTACTAACTAAGCATAGAGGGTCTAGTGGTAAGGTTTGCATATCACAACCTTGAGATTGTGGGATCAAAGTCCACTAGAGACACTTTGGGGGCCGGGGGGGGGGGATTCCCTTACCCTTCCCCCCACTCTCAATGTGCATGTCTAACCCGCTAACCCAGATTGGGAGGAGCTGTGAGAGGTTTCGGCCCAGTAGGACCCTTCTCCTTACCAACCCACCTAAACCAAATGTTAGTTTTTGCATTTTATTCAATGATTAAATGAACAATTATCATCTAAATGAGAAATAAGTACCCTTATTAGGTGCATCATACGCCTAGGTGTATATAACAATCTCTCGTAAATTAGCCCTTATATAGATAGTATTAAGATATATTATTGATTTTTATTTAGGGAACATGATGGAAATACGTTGGGCCTAAAATGGTAAGAAATACATACTAATTTATCATATCACATTAAAATAATGAAATGAGCAAAATGTTTTCTAAGTGAATATGTACCATACCAATGTCCTACCAATGGATCAATTCTCATTATCCAATCAAGTGCATCATACATTAAAGCTACTGGCATTTATATTTAGCTGAATTTGTATATTACGTAGTATATGAAACCATATTGCTATACTTCGTATAAATTTTTTCAATATTCCTTTCTGTTGAGATACAGTCTTTTCAAACAACACATAATGTTCCCCTTTTATGAAAGAAGAGAAAGTCAAATACTTTTATTACATTAAGGGGCTATATATTCCTATTCCATATGTTTTTGAAGTTAAACCTTTTTGGAATTGTAAAGTGGACTCTCTCTTGACATCGAATGTGACCATGCCTAACACTATCAATTCAAACTTGTGGTATATGAATACTATGTAATAATTTCAACCAAATTATTCAAAATATAGGAGAAATAAGTAATTAAAGGAGATGAATTTACTTACAATAAACTTTCCAGTTTCAAAAAGAATTCCACAAGATCCAGAGGCATAGTTATACCCCATATACGACTTTGATCTTAACAGTGTTGATACGCTAGCAATTCGAGGTGGAGGATACGGCAGTCCAAGATAATCAGCTGCATACATATCAAACTCGTCAAGTCAATCAAATACTCCTACAAATTCATATTAAGAAGTTATCAATTCAGTCTTGGCTCAGTGGTTAAGACTGATGAGTAGACGAGTGGTTAAGATTGAGACAAAGGTTACAGGTTCAAATCTACCTCCCTTAAACATTAGTATTAATCATTGTTTAATAAATAGAGAGTAAGAATTATTAGAACATACCTATGAAATCGACAACGGTTTTGCCATTAGTGAATCTTCCAGTAGGTATACCTCCAGGAAATTCATGGCCATACGGAGGGTAATTAGCCTTAGCCAATGTAGGCAACAAATTATTGTTTCCACTATCAAAAATTGAATCACCAAAGATATAAAGCGCAGGAACAAGAGGTGGTGGTGAACTACATTTCGTACACAAAAAGTTTGAGAAAAATAATAATATGTACAAGATTTTTTCTATTGGTACCATTTTTATTTTACTTTTGTGCAACTTTTTTTTTTAATCTATTTAATTAAATGGGAAATTAGATAGATGGGGTTACAAACAATCTAACATGAAAGTCCCATTTATTTCTGGAAATGAGTAGGATTTATGTTGCTTTTTATAGAAGGAAGAATATGAAAAGGTACTTCAAGGAGTAGTGAATAATGATGCAATCCGCGTATAATAATTGATTGAGCCACGAGGATACCATACCATGCAATTGCATCATTAGATAAACAATTAATTAAACAATACTTCCATTTTTTCGAAATTTTACCGTTTCTTTTTAACAAGTGACCAAGAACACTCGTTAGAAAACTAGCTTTAAACAATCTCTTATTCGAAAGTTTTTTATTGACAAAAATCTACTAATCGAAGGACCGGACCGTATGTCTCAACATATAGTGATTTATAAGTAATTGTTATTTTTTACGGAAAAGGTATGATTTTTTGCAGACAAATGCGCACAATAGAGTGCCAGGCCAATTTTTGTATTATGCAGAAATTTGATTGATGGTGGTGGATTTGATTTTTATCATCATCGGAACAAATTGAAGTGAAGACAAAACTTACCTTAAATAATATCTTAGCCTAAAATTTCATCAAACAAACAAAAATGGCTAGAATTCATCGATCGATAAGATTCAAAGTACTCTCTATCCAATGTAATCCATGTGTTAGTAGTATTGAACTATTATTTGTTAATAATTGGGTCAAAAATATCAAATGATACAAGTATATCAATATAGGTTATATGGCCTAACTTGTTGATTACTCCGGCTATGTTTCATTTGGTAACTCTACAAGTATATACTTCGGATATAAACTAGTTCCTTACCGGAGCATGCATGCTCGGATATGTATTACAAGAAAAAAAAAAATTATTTGTATAAATTACTATTTCGTATAAGTTTGTATTCACTAATTTTTTTTACATGTTATTTTTTTCTTAAGGAAAAAAGGGAAAAAAAATTGGACGGAATTTTTTTTTTGTCGTGAATTCAACACGTGTACTTTTGGGATAATTTTGGTGATATCTTTTATATATACTTCCTCTGTCCCTTATTTTTGCTTCATTTGGCTTTTCACAATCTCCAGGTCGTATTTTAAAACGTCTAGATCATTATTTTCATACACGTAAAACTTATAAATACGTGACGTTAATAAAATATAAAATGAGACGCATTTAACTGTACAAATCCCACATGACTATATTATTTCTTATAAATTAACGGTAATATATGATTAAAGTTTTCAAATTTTGACCTACAAAATGACAATGGGGCAAAAATAAAGGGACGGAGGGAGTAGTACAGAGGTTGACTAACGTAAGATCAAATCTTGTACTTGCGCTTTACAGTTATGACATCTATTAGCTGATCTTTATTCTTTAATTGTCAATCTTCTCAAAAGCATACAAGTGATAAGTAAATTATTTTCAGCATATTTTCATTGAATCACTTTGTCATTATACATTTAGGTGGTGAAAAATCTTGTTCATTTTTTTTTTTTTAATAAAAACGATAATAACTCCAATCTCATGGTTAAGGGAAAAAAAATCATCTACCTAGTTATTTCTTTGATTTTTAATATAAAAAAAATGTGCTAATATCTATGAATAATGTTGACCTATTTGTCCAAGCATTAACTCGCTAATTAAGCCAGAAACTGTATTTAAACTTGAACAAGTTGCTGGATGTTCATAGGAACGCAAACATCAGAGCCACTGATACATTGAGATGCAATAACAGAACATGTTGCTTGAGTTAGATGATAGCCATCCCAAAAGTAGTGTTCGTCGGGGGCTGAGCATGGTGTTTCCACCGGTATGCATGAGAATGTACCATTTCCCCATGCATTGCAACACGGATTGCTACTATCTCTTAACCCTGTAACATTACATGTACATGAGTCACTTCAAGGTCCATTCATTTAAATTAGTTGTCAATAATAAGAATTGGCCGATTGGGCACGTTAAAACTATATTGCATATGAAATACTACCTCCGTTTTTTTTTTTATCTGCAACTTTGAGGAATATTTGTGAGACATAAAATATTAGTATGAAGTATATGAAAATGGCTTAAATAATGTTGGCATACCATATTTTGAGGGATTGATGACAGCATCATATCCTAGTCCATGTGCTTTTCCGATAATAAAATGCGAGTCTTGGAGAGTAGAAGTTAAATTCTTGAGCAATAATGCAAGTTGAGTGTTGAACATATTAACGATTTCATTTTTATTTTCATCGCATTTTCCATTTAGCTTTGAACTCCTTACAATTGATGGAATGCAACCAATTGGACCTAGCTCGAACACCACAATCTTCCTTGCTCCAAAATTATATAGTTTCTGCCAATTTACAAAGAAAATGTATCGAATTCATTTATAACATGCATAATTTACTATTTATATTTTTTTATTATTTGCAACAAGGGGTATTATTTGTGAGACATAACATATTTCTTAGTGGCAAATAATAAGAAACTGAGGTAGTAGTATAATTTTTAAAGATTATAGTAAGTAAATAAAGATTCTAGACTTAGGTACATACGTACAATGTTGTTTTCGAATATAATCTCATTATAACACAAAAAAAATCTATATAAAAATTGATAAAATGAATACCTGTAATTTTAGTGATAATGTATCAACGAGGAGTTGTGCGAATTGTCGAGGATTATATTGTTTCCTTGTCTTAAAAGGACCAAAATAAGTGTTGATGTAATCATTATTTCCCACTGAGAAAATGAAAATGGACTTGGCCATGTATTGGGAAAGCTCGGCTGAGTTTTTGTACTTTGAGGACAACTGTTTTTCCACTGTCTCTTTGAACATTCTCATTTGTTCATCCAAATTCAAGCATTCACCCTGCAAAGTGAAAAAAGCGTGTTTAATCATAAATATCTTTAATTATAAATTTTTTTAAATACAGTAATAAAAGTTGATATTCTGTATAATAGTGTAATACAAGACAAATTTAATAAAATTTCATGCGAAAATATTTACTCCTTATTTATTTTTATGGAATAGATTTTTTTTTTCCCCTTAAAAAGAATCTTTTAACTAGTTTAGATTTACAAATTCTATGATAATCATGGGCCATGGACATTAGAGATTTAGAGACACTACACTTAAATCATCAGAACTTTCTTTACACACTTTTTTCGAACTTTTTTTGTTTACTTTGGAAAATGTGTGGGCCTCACTGTCTTGTAGCCCATATGAACACTCTTTGGTCAAGTTTGACTTAGGTAGTTCACTTTACTACTATAGCACTTCCCAAATTCCAACCCAAATCCAATTGGACTATAAGTCTTGCAACACACACTCTTTTTTCCCCAAATAGGCACATACTTTACTTGAGCAAACAAAATTAAAAATGCTTGGAAAAAAAAAAAAAAAAAAATAAGCTTACATACATCCAGCCATCTAGGATATTTTTAAACGCGGAATATTTAAAATAAACGAAACATCAAAAATTTGGCTAGGACTTAAAAGTCTATCCTGCCTTATCTATTTGGGGTACCGATAATTAGAGACTATAATTCGCTTATGACTTATCACTACATGCTTATGTAGCTTAGCTAATTGGGACGGAAGAAGTAGCTAAATCGATTAAGTATATAGAATACATGTTTATGAACAAACATATAATTTGACTTTGAAAACATACATGGTAATATGGTACATTATAATAATTCAATCTCCATGGTATGTAAGGCGCAAATAAGTGAATAGCAATTGCCCTTCAATTTCGATGACAACTACGTAAATTCTTGAATATATGATCTCCAATAAATATTATGATGTCGGAAGATCAAAAAGTGTGATTTTTTACTTTATTTATTTGATTTACTGTCATAATTATATCACCACTAAGCCACTAATCGAGTAGGATAAGAGGTGGTATTGTACACGTATGCGTACAATAGTTAAGATAGGTAAATTAGCCAAAATAAAGAAGAGTAATAAAGAATTTATCTTGATTTAGGACATACAATGAAGATAAGTTGGGCCTAAAATGGCAAAAAAAATAATATATATATATATATATATATATACACTGATATGCGTGTCAATGTTCCATATTGGTATATCACATTGAAATGAGCAAAAATATTTCTAAGACACAATCAACGGCACCATGAGAATATAGAGTTATAAGAGCGAGTGATGAGAATCGATTTTAAAGATTACATGAAATTGGGAAAACTTTAACCACTTGAATTATCCCTTATTCTCATAGTCATATATATGAGTGTGAAAGCACCATATTAGACGTGTATAATGTATATGTATAATATATTAGTAAATCCTATCTAACATAATGAAACTTTAAAAACGATAATTTACCAAATAAATAGCAGTAACTCCATAATAATATTTTAAAAAAAATTCACTCTATAATAAGGTTAATTATTGTCATAAGGATGATAAATTAAAATTAGAGTCTAAATTAATATAGAAATGAGTTTGTGTATTGCTTACAATAAACTTTCCGGTTTCAGGAAGAATTCCGCAAGATCCAGAGGCATAGTTATACCCCATATATGACGTCGGCCGGAATACACTAACTCGCGGTGGAGGATACGGCACGCCTAGGTAGTCAGCTACATAGCAAAATCAAACCAATCAATTTAAGCTCATATCAAAATTTCGAATATGTTTTCATTTTACACTGTACCATAATTGTTTATAAATTTCAAGGGAGCAAGAACTAAGAAACTAATGTAATAAATTTCACTATAATTCATGTGTATACGTTAAAACTAAAAAATAAGAAAACACCGCATATAATAAGAGTAAAATTGTGTTACGTACCTATAAAATCAACAACGGTTTTTCCATTAGTAAATCTTCCCGTAGGCAAACTTCCAGGAAAATCAAGACCATATGGAAAATAATTAGCCTTAGCTAATGTAGGCAATAAATTATTATTCCCACTATCGAATAATGAATCACCAAAAATATATAGCGCAGGAACAAGAGGTTGTGGTGAACTACACTTTGTGGACAGAAAATTCGAGATAAATAAGAATAATATGTGAAAGAATATATTTCTTGGAACCATTATTTTTTAATTTTTTTTTTTGTAGAAATATGGAGCTTTTTGATGTATTTATATGGAAAAATATGAGTGTTGCGTAAAGCCTGAAAAAATAGGAGTTATCAAATACAAACAGTAACATGAAAGCCACATTTATATATGAAAATGAAAATTAGTGGGATTTATAAATTATGTTGCTTTTTAAAGAGGGAAGAATATGAAAAGAAAAGGGGTTCAAGATTAATGATGCAATCCGCGTCAATCGTCACGTTGCTTTCTTGCTAATATGGGAAATAATCATTTTTATTTTATTTGTTGACAACTTTGAGAGATTTTGGAAGAATTTCAGTGGACAAATTGATTGTGTCTTTTCCTTGAGGATACCGTTTAATATTTTTTTTTTTTTTTTACTGTTTAAAGAGTCTCGAGGGCGGGTGATGAGAATCGATTCCAAGGTTTTTTGGAATCGGGAGGAAAGTTCTAACCACTTGAGCTATACCTCACTCGTAGGATACCGTTCAATTTTGGATACATGATTAAGTAATATCGTTCTCTCGGTACATGACCTAAACTGTCGATCTAACAACTTGACGATTAGTAAGTGTCTAATTGTATATGTAATTTTGCATTAAGGAGTATTAGTTTCACTTAAAGAAAATCCTTATAAACTATTTTTAAATTAGGAAATGGCCCTGGTAAAATTTGGTATCATGCATCATTTTGGATAGACAATTAAATGATTTGTTATTTGTACATGGCTTAAACAAACTATCTAATGAATTGACAAATGACGATTGACAACCTTTTTAAAAAAAAAAAATATGACGATTGACAAATGTCTAATTGTGAGAGTGAAGTATAGCTCAAGTGGTTAGAGCTCTCCTTCCGATTTCTGGAGATATTGGGATCGATTTTCATCACCCGCCCTCGTGGCTCTTTAAACACCCAAAAAAAAAAAAAAAAAAAAAAAAAAAAAAAAAAGTCTAAATATCAAAGCATTATTATTTTATATTATAAAATATTCCACAATTGAGAAATGTGAATTTAAGGGAATTTGTTTATATTATTGACTTTTGAAATGATCGAACATGGAAAGATTTTATTCTTATTTATTTCTCCATACACTAATTCCTTCCCTAAAGTATAAGTTAGCTTAGGAAGTGTCCATATACACCCATTAGAAATATCAATACCAGATGAATAGCGTATCCGATGAATAGCGTATATGATACGGAATATGAGTTAGATTAATAAGTGCACGTCCATTCGTTATTCGTTAGAAAACCGAACAATGATTAAAATAATCAATCACTAGTTCACTACTCATCCAAAAAATTTCTCAATGATCAAAATTTATGACGAAGTAGTAAGTTGTGCCGCATTATGTTGGATCAATTTGCAGGCTGGTATTCAACTATTCATAATGTACAATGTGAAATTTGCCACATATACAAACATTCAAACACAGAGACAAATAATGCATACAATAGAGTACATAATCAGCAGTTTTCTGTATTATACAGAAAAATTGATTGAGATAACGATGGATTTTTTTGTATTTCTCATCATCAAGACAAATTCAAGTGGAGACATATCTTACCTTGAATAATGTTAAACTTCAATAAAACAATTAGGAGAAAACAACTTAATGAGCCTTTACTATTAAACACATATATATAGGCTTACAACATTAACCTAACATGCCAAAAACTCCTAACAAGATATATACAAATATATTCACAAAATATATCTCATAGCATAATTATATCCTAACACTCCCCCTCAAGTCGGAGCATGTAAATCACGAATGCCCAACTTGTTAAGAAGAAAACCAAACTGTCGTTTCCCAAGTGCCTTCGTCAAAATATCTGCTAACTGATGACCGGTAGGAACATACGCAGTAGCTAGATTACCATTCACCAACTCATCACGAACAAAGTGACAATCTGCCTCTATATGCTTAGTACGATCATGAAAAACGGGATTTTTAGCAATATGGAGAGCAGATTGACTGTCACAATACAACTTCATAGGCTTAGGATGCAAAATACCAAGAGAGGACAACAAAGATTTCAACCACTTTAATTCACAAGTTGTAACTGCCATAGCACGATACTCAGCTTCAGCAGAAGAATGAGATACTGTCGGTTGTTTCTTAGTCTTCCACGAGACAGGGGAACGACCAAGAAAAACCATATAACCAGACAAAGAACGACGAGTCAAAGGACATGCTGCCCAATCACTGTCACAGAAAGCCGTCAAACACATGTCCTTCATAGGACGTAACAATATACCCTGACCAGGACTACCTTTGATATAGCGAAGTACCCTGATTGGTGCATCCCAATGTTGCACCTGCGGGTTACTCAAAAACTGTGCAAGAGTATGAACAGAGTAACTCAACTCTGGACGAGTTACAGATAAATAAACAAGTCGCCCAACTAAGGCGACGATACTGATCAGGTTGAGAGAATGGCTCCCCTTCGGCATATGCCAAACGATGGTTCTGCTCCATAGGTGTATCAATAGGCTTACAACCTAACATACCTGCCTCAGATAATACATCTAAAGCGTATTTACCCTGAGATAAAAATATACCTTCCGGGCCACGAGCAACTTCAATGCCCAAAAAATACTTCAACACACCAAGATCTTTTATATGAAAGCATGTACTCAAATACGATTTAAAACGAATAATCGCATCATGAGAGGAACCCGCAATAATAAGATCATCAACATAGACAAGTACATGCAGAGAGACTGATCCCTGAATATAACTGAATAATGAATAATCTGCATACGATTGCTTGAAACCATACGATTTCAAGGCATTAGACAATTTAGAAAACCACTGTCGAGGAGCTTGTTTCAGACCATATAGAGACTTACGCAACCTACAAACCTTCCCTGGAGTAGGACAGTTATAACCTGGAGGTAACTGCATATACACCTCCTCCTCCAAATCACCATGAAGAAAAGCATTATGAACATCCATTTGATGCAACTCCCAATTTAAAGAAGCAGCAACAGAAAGAAAGAGTCTAACATTCCCCATTTTTGCCACAGGGGAAAAAGTCTCGTGATAATCAACACCTGCAACCTGTCGATTGCCATACACAACAAGACGACCTTTAAGTCGCTCTAATTCACCTGTAGATGTATATTTAATTTTATACACCCAACCACTACCAATAACCTTCTTACCTGGAGGTAAGTCCTCCAATGTCCACGTGCCATTTCGTTCAAGAGCATCAATTTCTTCTTTCATCGCCTTACGCCACCCTACATGTTTCACAGCTTCACTAAACGAGGAAGGTTCTCTACCCTTTGAAACTGATGTCAGAAAACACTTGTGTCTCACAGAAAAGTTGTTATAATCAACATAACAAGCTATATCAAATTGTTTACCTGAAGAACTTGATTGAGAGACGGGAGCAGTAGTTGTTGATGGAGTGGGGTCTATTGCCTGTCGAACAACCGTATTAGTCACATAACCACGAAGCTTCGAGGATGGAATTTTTGTACGATGACCACGACCCAAAACCTCAACATTGTTAGGAGTATTACCCCCTGCCACGTCATTGTGAGCACTCGTTCTCCCCCTCAACTCAAGAGAGGCAGTAGCAACACCATTTCCAATTGAATCATTATCAAGCACATGCATATTGTTAACATCACCATGCAAAGAATCACTATTACCATGCATATTATTAACCTCCACAGTAGCATGCATATCTTGCAAAGAGGCCACATCAGAAGCACTAACAGTCTCACGAACAGGTGTAGGCACATGCAAATCATTATCAAAGTCTTCATCATCCCACAATCTAACTTGATTAAAATAATTTTCCCATTGCACTTTCTCCGACTCATCAAATATATCAATAAAAGGAAAAGTATCTTCAACAAATTGCACATCTCGGCTTATTAAAAACTCATTAGTCTCTAAATCATAAAACCTCCATCCTTTTTTTCCATATGGATAACCAACAAAAATACACCATCGAGACTTTGAGTCAAATTTGTCCTTAGCACGCGAATTATTCACAACATAACTCAAACAACCAAAAACACGCACTTCATCATAAGAAGGAGGTTTACCAAATAAACATTCATGAGGGGATTTTCCTTGTAAGATGGGAGTCGGAGTCAAATTGATAAGATGAACCGCAGCTAAAACACATTCCCCCCAAAAATACTTAGGTAATTTAGCTTGAAAACGTAAAGCCCGTGCAACATTTAAGATGTGCTTATGTTTTCTCTCAACACGACCATTTTGTTGTGCAGTATCAACACACGATGTTTGATGCAATATTCCTTTTTTACCGAAAAAGGACCTTAAACTCAAGAACTCTTGCCCATTATCACTTCTCAAAATTTTAATCTTTTTATTAAATTGAGTTTTAATCAAAGAATAAAAATTACGAACCAAAGTTCCCACTTCATGTTTTCCAATCATCAAATATACCCATGTTGCACGAGAATAATCATCCACAATAGTAAGAAAATATCTAGCATTACAACTAGACGATACTCTATTCGGACCCCAAATATCACAATGTATCAAATCAAACAAACCAGATGCTTTATTCATACTCAAAGGAAAAGAGTTTCGGGGTTGTTTACCCATAAAACAAATATGACAATCAAACACACCACACTTTTTATTCATACTACTACTAGCTACTCCAAGTAAAGAAGAAACTACTTTCATAGAAGGATGACCTAAATGCCTATGCCATAACATACTTGCATCTGGAACCACCACAGAATTGACTTGAAAACTACGAGCACGGACCGACCGAAAGAGATAGACCCCATTATACTGCACCCCCGCTCCAATCAGGTTCTCCAAAGTGCGGTCCTGAATAGTACATAGCTTGTTAGTGAAAAGAACAATATAGTTTTGCTTTTCTAATAATTGAGACACTGACAATAAATTACAATTTAATTCGGGAACAAATAAAACATTGTCTAATATTAAACCATCACTCAATTTTATTTTCCCTTCTTTAGTGGCCGTAGTACTTTTCCCATTAGGCAAACCAACGGGAGGTAAAATATCACGTAAATTATAAAACAATTTTAAGTCACCCGACATGTGATTTGATGCTCCAGTATCAATTATCCACTCATCCGAATTATACATACCATGAGAATTATTGTCAGTTGAAGGAGGGGTTTTTACACCCTTAATTGCACTCATAAATTGAACCCACTGTTCATTACTCAAAGTTGGAGCACTTGTACGGTCAACATCATTAATATCATCACCATTATATTGCTTTGAGCTACTGCTCACACTGCTAGCAAACCCACGACCACTAGAACCTTGCGCACGACCACCACGGCCACCTCTACTTGACCCACGACCACCACGCCCACTAGAATTAAAAGATTCGGGCCAGCCATGTAGATCAAAACACTTCTCCTTCACATGACCCTTTTTGCCACAATGATCACATACACGAGATTCACCACTACTCGACCAAGTAGTCCGACCCTGAGCCGTACCAGACGCAGCAAACCCAACAGCACCATCTGGACGATTATCGTGAGCATCCGAGACAGTTTTCTTGCGTTCATCCGACACAACCTTTGCATACGCCACATTGAGAGAAGGAATAGGGTCCATCATGAGGAGAGTAGACACCACATTGCCAAATTTCTTTGGGTCTAAACCAATACAAAATTGATGGAGTAATTCACTCTCAACAATTTTAGCATATTCAGGAGCAGCTGTACACATACACTTGGGAATTTTGACATAACTAGCCAACTCATCTTATAATTTATGTAACTCACCAAAATACACCGCCACCGGCCTACCACGTTGCTTGCAATCTACAATTTGAGCCTTTAACTCTAGAATACGAGGGCCATTGCCAAGGGAATATCTATCACGTAGATCATCCCACAAAGACTTGACATGGTCTGGAA